CATCTTTCTCTTTCTGTTAGTATCATAGCCCTTTCCTTAGGTTTGCGGTTCTTATGTTTGCAGAGGTATATTCCATATATTGGAGTGGGCTGACATAGTAAATGCTCACATAATCTCTGGTCCTGGGATAGTCGATGGACTGAAATTGAAGGTTTGCAACTTTGAATTGATTGCTCTGCATAAGTTTTGCTCATATGAATTCATCTTTTAACTTTTCAGTACTTTTTTACTTCTCTTAGGGTTTGCAACGTGGTAGGGGCCTGTTGCTGCTTGCTGAAATGAGCTCAGCCGGTAACCTTGCCAAGGGAGACTACACAGCTGCTGCAGTGAAGATCGCCGAGGAGCATTCTGACTTTGTGATTGGCTTCATTTCAGTTAATCCAGCATCATGGCCAGGGGCACCAGTAAATCCAGCTTTCATCCAGGCAACCCCTGGAGTGCAACTGGTGACTGGTGGTGATGCTCTTGGCCAACAATATAACACTCCAAAATCTGTAAGTTTATACTAATTGTATTGTTCTAAATCATTCTACTCTTATAAACAAAAATAATTCCTCTAAAAGGGGCCCCTTAAAGAATTGGAGAAGGATACCATAAATGCTTAATTTCCAAGATCATGAAGTGTCATTCTAACCAAACAAAAAAAATTGAACCCGAAATTATAGACAGGAAATTGTTGTAATGCCAAGAAATGACATCTCTGCCCTATATTTGGACCAGCGTCTATTTTAGCATTATTGATTTTATGTCCTAGTCTTGTGATTGAGACAAATTGTGTTCCAGGTAATCTACGATAGAGGTAGTGACATCATAATTGTGGGGCGTGGAATTATAAAGGCTGCAAACCCTGCTGAGGCAGCCCGCGAATACCGTCTTCAAGGATGGGATGCATATCTGGCTAAATGCAGCAGCAGCTAAGATTTCTATAGGGTTTGCTCCCTTGTGTCACTTATGTTTTACATGATTGCTAATTAACGGAGTTAATTATGATTCACATGAATGTGTGGTGTGGTGTTTGTGAAACCGGAGGACCCGATTTTTCTGGTATCAATGTATTTTTGGAAATCTTTGAGTTTTACATTACGGGACGGGAGCTATAAAAGTTTTCCTCTTGGCCACAATGTTTTCCACATTCTACTGAAATTAACTTGTTTGACTGGCATCAGCATGCAACATGCTAAAACATTAAACATTTCTGCCCCTGTAATTTTCTAGTACTTTTTATTATACAACGTTTCTCATAGAAATGTTATTCTTCTTTATTTTATTATTCCAAAGTTGAATCAGATTAGTAATGAAGAATTTATGTGCAAATTATGTTTGGTTGCCCCTGTTGCAATCCTAAAAGGACACAAATTAATGTGCAAACAACCAATTAAAAATACCCGCAAGTGCACGAATCTATCGAAGTATAGATTATGTAAGTACGGGGTCGATCCCACGAAGAACTTGTCGGTTTCCTATAAGTTCTAATTTGAGTACAAAGAGAACACTTAATTAACACACCACAAATGCACAAATGAAAGAGGGAAACTAGAAATAAGTAAAGAAGTGTAAAAGAAATGAAACAACACCAGAAAACTAAAGAAAAACACAAACAGCACTTTCTATCGCCATTTTATCACCACTTTATCACCTGTGAACAGTTCCGTGAACAGTGAACAGTGCTGTGAACAGTGAACAGTGGCGATCGGTCGTGAACAGTGACGACCGGTCGTTTTTGGGCAGAGTCGAAACTCAAATTCTGACGTGATGAGCGACCGGTTGTGAACAGTGATGACCGGTCGTTTTTGCACAGAGTCGTTTTCTCTGTTTTTCAGTTTCGACCTCTGTCCAGTTTTTGACCTATAACTTTCCAACCGTTTATCTAAAATTCACGTTCTTTATATGGTTGGATTCAGCACAGAAAATGTAAGAACACAACGCGGACCAAAAGTCCAAAACAATTACGGAAACAACCAAAATTCAGTGACAAAGACACAAAATGTGTCAAACACGCAACTCACACACACATTGGGGGGGGGGGGGGTTTT